GCAAAAGGTAACTGTTCATGCCACTATCTGGAACTCTAGATTGTCTTCCTAAAAATCGTCTTGATGTTTTTGTTTGCTGCTTCAACAGCGCCATTGGCCTTGGGCCGATAAGGAGTGGAGTTCCTATGCGTTATTTTGAACTATTCGCATACATCCTCCATCAAGTGACTATTCAGGTTTGCCGCATTATCTGTAATGATAGCTGCAGGAATACCGAAACAACAGATAAGATTTGAATGTACAAAATACCACGACTTTCTTAGTGACCGATTTGAGAGTGACAGCTTCGATCCATTTTGTGAAGTAGTCAATAGCTACCAATATGAATTTGTGCCCATTTGAAGCTTTCGGCTCAATCGGACCAATGACATCCATACCCCAGGCGACAAAAGGCCACGGTGCCGACATAGGATGTAGCTCCGTTGGAGGTGCATGAATCAGATCTCCATGTACCTGACACTGATGACATTCCCGGACGAAGCTGAAGCAATCTTTCTCCATAGTTATCCAATAATACCCGGCTCGAAGGATTTTCTTCGCCAAGACATACCCGTTCATATGAGGTCCACACACTCCTGCATGTACTTCATGCATGATTCTTCCTACTTCTTTGGCGTCAACACATCTTAACAAGTTGAGATCCGGGGTTCTTTTATACAATACCTCGCCGCTCAAAAAGAATCCACTTGCATGCCGCCTAATAGTTCTCTTTTGATCTCCAGTAGTATATTCGGGGTATTCTTGTGTCTTCAAGAACCTCTTAACATCCTGGTACCATGGTTGGATACTTGGTCCTACCTCGATTACATTACAGTAACCGTGTCTTTCCCTGATTTGGATTTCCAAGGGATCGATGTGGGCGTTGCCTGGATAAGGTAACATTGAAGCTAAAGTGGCAAGTGCATCAGCTAGTTTATTATGACATCGCGGGATGTACCTGAACTCTATTGAATTGAATTGCTTGCCGAGATCTTCCACATGCTGCAGGTAAGGAATAAGCTTGACATCTCGAGTTTCCCATTCACCCTGGGCTTGCCGGATAATCAGATCAGAATCCCCCATAATCAACAAATCTTCAACATCTTGATCGATCGCCATATTCATGCCCATGATGCAGGCTTCATATTCAGCTGTATTGTTCGTGCAAAAGAAACGAAGCCTAGCTGTAGCCGGATAGTGTTGACCAACGGGTGAGATCAAGATTGCCCCAATTCCTACACCTTTGGCGTTTACGGCCCCATCAAAGAACATCTTCCAACCATGAGCGTCTTCCGAGACTACTTCTATGGTGTTTATCTCTTCAACTGGAAAATAAGTACTCAATGGTTGGTATTCCTCATCAACTGGATTTTCAGCCAAGTGATCCGCCAATGCCTGGGCTTTCATCGTTGTGCGAGTGACATAGACTATGTCGAATTCAGTAAGCAAGATTTTCCACTTTGCTAATCTCCCAGTAGGCATCGGTTTCTGGAATATGTACTTCAAAGGATCCAACCTGGTTATGAGGTAAGTAGTATGATCTTGGAGATAATGTCTCAATTTTTGAGCGACCCACGTCAAAGCACAACACGTTCTTTCCAACAAAGTATACTTGACCTCATAACTGGTGAACTTCTTGCTTAAGTAATAGATCACCTGCTCTTTCTTTCCAGTTATGTCATGTTGTTTGAGGACACAATCGAAAGAATTTTCCAAGGCCGTCAGATACAAGAACAGGGGTCTCTCTGGCTATGGCGGGACAAAAACTGGAGGATTTGAAATATATTCTTTGATCTTGTCAAAAGCCTCTTGACACTCAGCCGTCCATTTGATTGCTGCATCCTTCCTCAATAGCTTGAATATGGGCTCACATGTGCTAGTTAGTTGGGCAATGAATCGACTGATATAGTTTAACCTGCCCAATAGACTCATCACGTCTTTCTTCGTTCTTGGAGGAGGTAGATCTCGGATAGACTTTATATTTGTTGGATCTAACTCGATACCTCTCCTGCTTACTATCAAACCTAGAAGCTTGCCCGATGGGACTCCGAAGGCGCACTTAGCCGGATTCAGCTTCAGGTCATACTTTCTCAGCCTCTCAAAAAATTTCCTCAAGTCTCGAACATGACGTCCTGAGTCCTGGACTTGACTATCACGTCGTCTACATACACCTCTATCTCTTGATGCATCATATCATGAAAAATGGCAGTCATGGCTCTCATGTAAGTTTCCCCGGCATTCTTCAATCCGAACGGCATAACCCGATAACAGTACGTACCCCAAGGTGTAGTGAAGGCGGTTTTCTCGGCATCTTCTTCATCCATCAACACCTGATGATATCCAGCGTAACAATCTACGAAAGACTGTATCTCATGTTTGGCACAGTTATCAACAAGGATGTGGATGTTGGGCAAAGGAAAATTGTCTTTGGGACTTGCCCTATTCAAATCTCGATAATCCACACACACCCGAGTTTTCCCATCTTTCTTCGGTACAGAAACTACATTAGCCAACCACGTAGTATACTGGACTACCCGAATTACTCCTGTTTTCAACTGTTTTGTGATTTCTTCTTTGATCTTATCACTGATATTAGTCTTGAACCTCCTCTGTTTCTGTTGAATTGGAGGACAATCAAGGTAAATTGGCAATTTATGCACCACTAGATCAACGCCTAGTCCTGGCATATCATCGTATGACCAAGCAAACACATCTTTAAATTTAAAGAGGGGTTGAATTATTGCATCTCGCATTTTCCCATCTGTGTGAATGCTTATTTTTGTTTCTCAGATTTCTTCAGTAGTTCCCAAATTAACCGGTTCGGTGTCATTCAAATTCGTCTTAGGTTTATTCTCGAAGTGTTCCAATTCTCGATTTATTTCGCTAAAAGCCTCTTCTTCGTCATATTACAGTTCTTGGTTCATTATTTCACCAGACAGCTCGTTTGGATCTGATCGTGAAGTCCGCAAGCATGTCATATTATTTAAAGCCTCATTATTATAACTGAAAGGAAAAGATAAAAGAAAAATAGCGAAAATCAGAAAGAATAAAAAAAGAATAAAAATGATGAAATACTGATTTTATTCCTTGGAATTGGGAAGATAACGGGGTTTACATTTCAGGAAATTAAAAATAGAAAACTAAAGAAAAACATCTGAGTTACACCCTGGGATAACTCGTGATGCAGGAAAGGTGGCAGGACAAGTCTACCCGGACTCTTGCCTGACTGGGAACGGTGTAGCCTCCCAATTTTGAAGTTTAGCATTTGGCCCCATGTATAGCACCTCAGCGGTGCTTGTGCCTTCTCCCAGCTGAACCATGTGGGTTTCGTAAAGCATTTCTCTCATCACCCCAAATATTTCCTCAATCTTTTCGGCCGTAAAGGTCTCATCATCTTCTTCTTCAGTGTACTTTGGTCTGACGAAAGTTTCGTACAAATGTGGCAATGGTTGAGGCAACTTCCATCCCTCATTTTTTCTCTTATTTGCCCAATCTTCATCTTTTGGAGTAGGGTGGAAGCCTATCCCAAAGAGTTTCTTAGTGGAAGGCAAAGTGATAGGTTCAGTTATTCCTTGCAACGATTTTCCAAGTCCTTTTCCCGGTTTGAATCCCCGTCGGATCATTTCTTTAGCAACCATGATTGAAGCGTTGGACAAGAAAGGTTGGGGGCAAGGGCTCCCTTCTTCATACTGCTCCGCCAACACAACTTTAAAAGCCTGATAAACTGTGTGCTCACTCCCTTCTCTTGCTTCAAGACATGGGACGGATGGGTCCCGATAAATAGACAGTTCGTCTTCTACGTGGACCACAATTTCCCGATCTTCATATTCAAACTTCACCATTTGGTGGAGAGTGGAGGGTACAGCCCCTGCAGCATGAATCCAAGGTCTTCCAAGGAGAAAGTTGTAAGATGTGTCCATATCCAATACCTGGAAAGTTACTTCGAACTCCACCTGCCCGATAGTCAATATCAGGTCTATTTCTCCGAGGGTGTCCCTCTTGATGCCATCAAAAGCTCTTACACAGACATTATTGGGGCGAATCCTTCCGGTCCCAATTTCCATTCTTTGCAGCGTGGAGAGCGGGCAAATGTCAACACCCGAACCCCCATCCAACATTACTCGCTTGACGTAGTAGTCTTCACACTTGACTGTCAGATGTAAAGCCTTGTTGTGAGCTGCTCCCTCCGGAGGCAAATTGTTCTTGCTAAAAGAAACTTGATTAACAGCAAAAAACCTTTTTGTCATTCTTTCAATTTGTTCAACTGAAGTCTCAGCCGGCACATACGCTTCATTCAAGGTTTTGAACAGGATCTTCTGATGTTCGGCGGACCTCATTAGCAAAGATAGCATAGACACTTGTTCAGGGTATTTATGCAACTGATCCACCACTTCATAGTCAGGCATATTCATCTTCTGGAAGAAAGCATCTGCTTCTTCAGCGCTCACAGGCTTCTTGGGTGGGAAGCGCTTCCGTGTGGCATTGTTCACTTCTTGAATGTCTGAATATTTTCCAGCAGAAGTATTTTCTGGAAGTTCCCCCGTGATTTCTTTGCCTTTCTATGTAACCAATGTTTGTTGATAATTCCACGGTACCGTAGACGGGTCCGTCATTGGCTTTTGTGGCATGCGTCCGATAACCACCGGCTCATTCAGCCGAGGTGGTTTAATCGTCCCCTGGACCACATAGGCCCCTTTTGACACGTACATCGGTATTCCCCTTTTCATTTTGAATCTCTGTGGCTTCTCTAATCGACCTTGTAGAATATAGAGAACCTCATTCTTTGAAGGCACCATCGTCTCTATCTTTGTCTCAGCCTTCTTTTCGAGCTCAGCCTTGACAGTATTAGTCTTCTTTTCCCCTTTCTCTTGCTTCGGGGCTGATTTAGGCTTTCTCTCTGCATCGATAATGGCAATTATAGCTTTCAGAGCAGGATCAAACTCCTTGTCCTCACAGATCATCCAAATCACTGGCCCATTATTGTGAGCGGGCAACGGATTATTGGTCACATTTGGGACCTCCTAGTCCCTTAATACTATCTTTCCCTGCTCTATCAAGTTCTCTACCGCCCTTTTTAAAGTCCAACAATTATTGGTATCATGCCCTTCTGCTCCCGAATGATAAGCACACCTGACACCGGCTCTGTAAGCAGGTGATGCTGGATTTTGCCTTGTCTGAGGGACTGGTTGCAGGAAACCCATTTGGACCAGCTTTGGGAATAGGGTAGAATACGGTTCACCAATGGGTGTGAAAGTTTGTATTCTGGGTGGTTCTTGAGGACGGAAGTTATTCTGGGGTAGTTGTGGATTATAGTGGTTTCGGTAAGGAGGCTGATTTCTGGGAGGTGGAGCTTGGCTACGGTTGGCTTGTTGCGGTGGTCGGCCGTAAGGTTGAGCATTCATGACCATGTAAGGTTGAGGAGCATAGGCCACATTCTGGTGGGGGTAGTAATGTTGCGGGGTTTTTTCTAGAAAACGGGGCCTGGGATTACGATATTCTCTTACTTCTGACGCTGCCATAGACGTCTTTTCCTTTTTCTTCCCTCTTGCCATTCCTCCGGACCCGCCTTGGATGGCTTGGGAGGTCGCCTTTATGGCCGCCTGACTCAAGATTCTACCCATTTTCAAGCCATTCTCTACCATTTCCCCGATCTTAATCGCTTCTGCGAAAGGCTTTCCCATGGCCGACATCATGTTTTGGAAGTAATCTGATTCTTGAGCCTGGAGGAAAGTAGTGACCATTTCTATTTCATCCATGGGAGGTTTTACCCTTGATGCTTGCTCGCGCCATTTAATAGCGCATTCTCTGAAGCTTTCTGAGGGTTTCTTCTTCAAGTTTGATAAAGAATTCCTATCTGGAGTGATGTCAATATTATACTGAAACTACCTTACAAAATCTCTGGCAAGATCTTCTCAAATGTGCTATCGAGATATGTCCTGATCCATATACCACTCTGAGGCTATGCCCACCAAGCTTTCTCTGAAGTATGCCATCAACAATTCTTCTTTGCCGCCATCCCCACGCAATTGGTTGCAATACTTTTTGAGGTGAGCAATGGGATTGCCATGCCCATCATATTTCTTTAACTTCGGTGTTTTGAACCCTACGGGTAGGTTCACGTGAGGGAATATGCACAGATCAGTATAGGAGACACTCTTCTGCCCGCTTAAGCCTTGCATATTTTTTAAGCTCTGCTCGAGGCTCCTCATTCTTCTCGCCATTTCATCTTGTTCAGGAGCTTTGGGATTTTGGTCTTGCCCAGGCGTAAGCTCGCATTGAGGCTGCTGAGGATGAGCGCTGGTGGTAAACCGAGTTGGTTCCAGCGAGAAGGATGGTGCTTGAAATGTGAATGAGGATAAGTCAAAATTAGGCCTGTGTATAGCGGGTTGTGCCACAATTGGACAGGGCGGTGCAGTGAATATGTTTGTAGCCACATCTGTCGTTGACACCCGAGGATAAGAATCGGAGGGTGATCTAGCGGAGTGGGCTGAAATGGTAGGATACCCGAATGGGGTAGTTGGATAACTTATGGGGACGTTGGAAGTCCTACTTGCCCTAGAGAATAGCTCAGGGAATCCAGGGATTACACTCGGCGGCTCTTTTCCATTGTTCCAGACATCCAAAATTTCCAACATGCGAAGACGCAAGATTTTGTTTTCTTCAGCAATTGCTGATTCAGAAGTTGGGATGGCCGAGATTGAACTCTCTTCTGAAATAGGAATCGTTGGCAAAGGAATTTCTGAAGACATCTCTACAATTCCCTTTGATCTCGTGAAGTAAGTGTGAACACTTCCTCTCGACTTAGTGATGGGCAGTTGAACACTTCCTTTTGACCTCGTAAAGTATGAATGTGAGGCCACACTACCACAAAACCAAACAACCTTTCTAAAAACCTGGACTTAACAATAAACAACAAACCGGTCAGTTTGAAACAATTAACACATAGGTAATCGCACGTTGGGGTGTGATGCACCTATTTAGTTAAATGTGTTCTACATATTTCGCAACAGTTACATGTTTCATCCCGGCTCTGCTTACTTTCCCAATTTTCTTTTTCTTTCCACTTTTGGCTTTTTTACTTCTCCTCTTATTCCTATTTTCCACTCTTTTCTTTCCTCTCTTTCCTTGCCCTTTTTTCGTTTTTCTTTTGGTTTTTCTTTGGCTCTCTTTTTCACATCCCTCTCTTATTTGGGTTATTTACAAAAATGTGACCGGATCCGATAAGGATTGCCTTACGTATCACGATGCTGCATAGTTCAACAAAAACAAATGCGAAAAATAAAGAAACAATTTTTGGGAATTTTCAAATTTTCATTAATAAAACTCCTAAACTTTCTATTACAAAAGACTTCCAACTAGTCATTTTTTTGGAATTTTAAAAGCTACCAATAGACTCAAAAATAATTTCCAAAATACAGATTCAATAAATGAAAAATCATGAATACATCAATGCTTCGACTCCTGGGGCCCGTGGGACATTATTTGGTCTCACGGGCCTACGTGCGAGATCCCCTTGAAGCCGCTCCAAATCACTCATTATCTGGCGGACAAATGTCATTACATCAGCGAAGAAAGTGGTCTGAGTCATATCCTCACATACGTGGCATTTCATGACGATGTAGTAGGCAATGGCTCTAACCCTCTCTCGGACAATACCCTTTTGCTGAAGTAAACGCCCGATTTGCTGATTCCGAGCTTCCAACACTTGAGTGTCATGATGATTTTGATTCCGCAAATGTTGCATATCTTTGTCCATTTGGGCTATCAGAACATAACAATGTTCCCTATCGGCTTTAAAATTCCTAGCCTGTTTGTCCGCCTCATTTTCAAGGGTGGTTAGCTTTCTCTTTAAATTGGCAATTGTCCCCTCATATTTTCTTTTCATTTGTCGCACAAACTCTACCCGCCCTTCTGCATTCTCTGTCAATTGTGCTCGGACTTTTGCTAGACTAGCCTCAGATTTTTCTAGGTCATCTTGACACTCAAGTACTTTCTTTCTCATACCGCTTATAAGCCTTTCATCTGCCTGGCTTCTTTCCGGGTTTCTAGCAGCTATTCTCATTTTATGGATTTGAGCTTTGAGAGCTTCGTTTTCCTGAGTTAGCTTTTTCTTTTCCCCTTCATCTGCGGCAGCTTGGATACTGTGGCCAAATTTGAGGTCCCTGATTTCTCCCTCTAATTTACTTATCTTGGCCCTATATCTTTCTTCTTTTGCCAACCAGCCCCACTGTTCCTGCGAGTCGTTAGTGAATTTTTGTACATGGGGTCTCTTAGCAGGTCTCTCGGGATCTCGAGGAATTTGCAACCTTTTGCCAAACCAAACCCTATAATTGGGGTCCACCTCACCTCTACCTAGATCCCGCACCATAGTCTTGGGTTCGAGAAATCTGCACTCATTCCAAACTTGGCAAACTCTTCCTTCTGGAAATACGGCCTTTGGGCCCAATTCGACGACATGTACACTCAAATCTTCGTCATGGGGGATGGTTTAAAATCTTCCCAGTTGGCGCAAAACCCTGTGAGGAGTATATGGCTGGATGCTCCGGATGCCCATTAGGAGAAAGTAGCACACTTTGGCTGGCATGTATACGACTTCGGTGGCAGGGAGCCATCCAAATGTCCACTCAATTTTATCCGAAGTTAAAGAACTCAAGTGGGCAAACCAAGCTTCGGTACCCTTTGGAAATTCAACCCCCGCCACTCAGCTTTCAAATTCTTCGATGCAATCCAAACCAATCATGTCGTAGTTCATATACCCGACACGGTGGTAGAGATGTTCCAGTATCCATAATTGTAGTAGTAAGTTGCAGCCTTGGAAGAATTTTCCCCCTTCTCGACATATGGTCAAAGCTCGATAAATCTCAGATAAGATCAGAGGAACTAATGTGCCATTAGCTTTCTTGATTGCGACATCAACCATTCCCACGAGGCCCAATTCTATGCTGCCGTCTTTTCGCGGACATATTATAACACCCAAGAATGCTACTATAAAAACCAAACCCTACCTTTCCTCCCATTTATCTTTATTTCCGGCATGGGTCATACCAGTATTCGGTGCTTCGAAACCTTGGGGATTGCCATAGCGTTGGTACAGGAACTGGAAAGTGCAAAACCCTTCAGATAAATTCCCATCCTGAATATCCCGGCTAATACTCAACATATCCAGAAACTTGTGAGGAGATACTGGTCTCGGTGACACCGGGTACCAACTTCTAAAGTTTCCGCTAAGGCCGGCGTAACCCGCAATTTCCTCTAGCGTGGGTGTGAGCTCAAAATCAGAAAAGCGAAACACATTGCGAGTCGGATCCCAAAACGGTATCAAGGCTTCAATCACGTCTAATCTTGGCTTGATTTCAAAAGTCCGACAAGACCACCCAAAACTTTTATCACAGTTCCCCGGCTACCTTTTCCTAGGTCATTCCACCACATGTGGAGCCGTAAGGGGATCTCTTCAAGAGCTGCGAAGCGTTTGTCTTCATCTGTGCTCATCCTGCACATTTATTAGGGTGATTTAATTTAAAAGGTTATGACTCATTTTGACTCAAGAAAAAAGGGCCTTCTGGCGCCCTTTTGGGGACATTCGACTATTTTAGACAAGAATGACATCACCTTACTTATTTACAATCAAAACAAAATTTTTTGTTCCTTTTGGGCTATTTGTACAAAAAATGAAGTTGGACCCGATGGGGTTGCCTACGTATCCCACATCCGGTGAGAATCAAACTAGCGTAGTTCGGGAAGACCAGAAGTAAAGTAAATAAACTAACTCTTTTTTTTTTGGAATCTTTTAATTTCCGCAAGAAAGACTTATAAAGAAGAAAGAAAATATTTTCGATTTCAAAATATTTTTTTTTTCGGAATTTCGGCAGAGTTTCGGAATTTTCTAAATACCTACCTCTCACTCCTATATTATTATTTTTTGATTTTTTTTTTGATTTTTTAGAAGTCGGTCAACATGCAAGCCGAAACAAACAGATGCGCAAGTAGCACGTAAGATGCATCGGGATGGTCTTTTTCATTTGGGTACACCTGTCCTAGACAGACCCAACCCCTGTGTTGAGTCTCCAAGGTCAAATGCATGTGATACAAACAAACTTTCCTACTAGGGATCCGGTATGAGGCTTGTTATACTAGGTTTAAAAACCTGGGTTTATTGTTCTAGACCTGGCTTACCCGAGCGGACAGCTCGAGCCGAGGGGGGGCAGCGTACCGGGAATACAGAAGCTTCACCGGATTTGCAACTTGTCTGAACCTCATTCTAAAATTGGGATAAGACTCTAACAGAAAAGAAGTCACACGAAGTGCACACTTCCTAGATGATTTAGAAGACTCAGATAGAGGAGGGTTTCGTAGCAATTTATATACAGTCCAAACAATATCAAAGCGGTAAAAACGGCATTTAGCACATTAGGCTCAACATGTAAAAATAAAATAAAACAAGCCAACTATAATAGTTATTCTAAGCTCGAATTTTTTAACCCTGAACCGAAGTTCTGGGTTTGGATCCCCAGCGGAGTCGCCAGAGCTGTCACACCTCCTTTTTGCGTGCCTACCCCGAGGGATAAATGCGTGAGGGAGTTTTTCCAATTTAAGTGACATTAATCGAATCGAAATTATTTATTTATTTCAGAGTCGCCACTTG